AAACACACCCTCATCCTATTTTTGTTTTTACCACAAAAAGCCCTGTCCATGTACCTTACCTGTGAGTCACCAACAATTAAAGTTTTTATACCTTCCTTGTCATCCCTGCCCCTGACTGTACTAGCGTCCAATTCGTCTATCAAGGGACTGAACGGGTTGGTACACTTAGCTGTTGTTGTCGTTGTTGTCGTATCCTTCGAGTGCTTCTTTACCACCAGCTTGGTCCTGCCACTACTCACGACTTTCCACTCGTTTGATTTTTCGTCAGACACTGGCTTTACTCGTCCAGCCTCTCCTTTTAACTTCGCCAGCTCTTTCCTTAATTTCACGTTCTCCAACGTGGCCCTCTCAATTTCTAACTTGGCCCTCGCCAATTCTTCAGTGGACCACTCCAGTTTGGTCAACAAACTCTCATACCCAAGACCGCACATATCACTGGCCATATCTGATAATTATCCCTCTGGAGCTAACCCTGCCGTGACCTTTCCCCTAGTGAGGTCAGAACACATGCAGAGGTCCAGGGTTCGATTCCCGACAAGTGAGGTTTACACACACACACACACACACACACACACACACACACACACATATATATATATATATATATATATATATATATATATATATATATATATATATATATATATATATATATATATATATATATATATGGCATGTACAAACTGGAAAATTTTGTAATTAAGAAGATTTGTAACCAGGTGAGAAGGTTGGGTCACCTTACCCTCTGACCTGACCACCAACCGTTGCCGTGCTATTTAAAGATTAGTAGGGTCATTACCTAATACCTGACCATTGTGGACCTGGTCTCACCCTCCTCTGTATATATACACCTTGGTTTGCACTTCACTTTAGTCTGTAATCACCCCTGAAGATGTGAATTACACGAAAGCGCTTGGGAACTTCGTGTTTTCTTCTTTCCTTGTTATCAGCATATATATATATATATATATATATATATATATATCGTCTTGTATACTGTGTGTCGCAGGTGTGGTGACTTATTCAAGACACACACGACTGTAGCCGTCAAGGGGCGGTGATGCCCTAGGGTACAGAGAGGAGAGGTTAAGCCTGTTGTCGCTTTTTTTCATTCAACGAGTTGACAAGACAAGACCTTACACCAAGGCCGCTGTTACCGTCTCCCTTCACTGCTAACCTTTGATACGTTTGCTGTTCTTAGCAAGTAAATATTACTCGAAAAAATATATATTACCTGAAAATTAATCCCCCAATTTATTTCACTCGAGGACTAAACACTGTAGCACTACTATGGGGTTAGGTTAGGTTAGGTTAGGTTAAATATGATGGGGACAGAGCCTTTCGTTTTTTCCGGTATTAGACCTTTTTTGTGCCTGATGATGGTGCCTCATAATGGTGCTTGATAATGGTGATGGTGCCTGATAATGGTGATGGTGCCTGATAATGGTGATGGTGCCTGATGATGGTGCCTCATAATGGTGCTTGATAATGGTGATGGTGCCTGATGATGGTGCCCGATAATGGTAATGGTGTCTGATTATGGTGATGGTGCCTGATGATGGTGATGGTGCCTGATGATGGTGATGGTGCCTGATGATGGTGCCTGATGATGGTGATGGTGCCTGATGTGGTGATGGTGCCTGATTATGGTGATGGTGCCTGATGATGGTGATGGTGCCTGATATGGTAATGGTGCCTGATGATGGTGATGGTGCCTGATGATGGTGATGGTGCTGATGATGGTGCCTGATTATGGTGCTTGATAATGGTGATGGTGCCTGATGATGGTGCCCGATAATGGTAATGGTGTGATTATGGTGATGGTGCCTGATGATGGTGATGGTGCCTGATGATGGTGACGGTGATGATGGTGCCTGATGATGAGTGATGGTGCCCGATGTAATGGTGCCTGAATTTATGGATGATGGTGCCGATGGTGGTGATGGTGCCTGATTATGGTGATGGTGATGATGGTGCCCGATAATGACAATGGTGCTGTTGATGGTGCCTGATGGTGATGATAAGGTGCCGATAATGTAGTGGTACCTGATATGGTGATGATGATGGTGATGGTGCCTGATGCAGGATGGTGCCTGATTATGGTAATGGTGCCTGATGATGGTGCCCGATAATGGTAGATGGTACCTGATGATGGTGATGGTGCCTGATGATGGTGATGGTGCCTGATGATGGTAGCCGATGATGGTGATGGTGCCTGATGATGTGATGTGCCTGATTATGGCAATGGTGCCTGATGATGGTGCCTAATGATGGTGCCCGATAATGGTAGTGGTACCGATGATGATGCCTGATGATGGTGATGGTGCTCGATGATGGTGATGGTGCCTGATGATGGTGATGGTGCCTGATTATATGGTAATGGTGCCTGATGATGGTGATGGTGTACCTGATGATGGTGATGATGGTGCCTGATTGACAGGATGGTGGTAATGGTGCCTGATGATGGTGATGGTGCCTGGATGATGGTGATGGTGCCTGATGATGGTTATGGTGCTGATAATGGTAATGGCAACCTGATGATGGTGATGGTGCCTGATGATGGTGATGGTGCCTCATAATGGTTCCTGATAATGGTAATGGTACCTGATGATGGTGATGGTGTCTGATGATGGTGTCCGATTATGGTAATGGTACCTGATGATGGTGATGGTGCCTGATAATGGTAATGGTACCTGATGATGGTGATGGTGCCTGATGATGGTGCCTTATTATGGTAATGGTACCTGATGATGGTGATGGAGCCTGTTAAAGGTGATGGTGTCTGATAATGGTAATGGTGCCTGGTAAAGGTGATGGTGTCTGATAATGGTAATGGTGCCTGGTAAAGGTGATGGTGTCTGATAATGGTAATGGTGCCTGGTAATGGTAATGGTGCCTGTTAAAGGTGATGGTGTCTGATAATGGTAATGGTGCCTGGTAAAAGTGATGGTGTCTGATAATGGTAATGGTGCCTGGTAATGGTAATGGTGCCTGGTAAAGGTGATGGTGCCTGGTAAAGGTGATGGTGCCTGGTGATGGTTAAGGAAGGGGTGGGGGCAACTCTCCAGCAAGAGAAGTAGGTATAGCAAAATGTGGACGGTGTTCCTCTTAGCCACAACACAGACGATACCTCACTTGTCGCTGCCGCCTTCACCGTCTTCCTCCGCCTCTATAAAGTGACCTGGACGCCGCTGCTGGGTCTGGGGTCTGGTGGAGCTGTATAAATTACCCTAAATGTGTTCATCTCCGTGAGGGGGGGAAGGAAACCATAGCCAGACTCCTCTTCGCCACTGGTCGATGACGTCAACACCGCCTTCACATAATTTTGTATATGTTGATAAATGAATTATTTTTGGTGTTAAATCATCAGGTGGAATAATCTGGGATGTCTAATCTTCAGGTGATCGAAAAAGTTGACTAAAAATATGTCTAAATCCCGGAAACTCAGTAAATGATTAATTAAGCAAAGATCATAATATAATCATCATACAGCATAGTGGTATGAGACGCGAGCGGCACCAGAAGTAAATATTACATGGACTCCTTACTAGAGTCACTCGGCTCACACCAAGACATATAATTCTCAACCGTAAGGGGAGACATTACATATTTTCTCCATTTAGGGAAGTTGGCAGAGCGAGACAAATGAGAGAACACTGTGGGGGTGGGGGGGTGAGGGCTCCTAGGGGGTGAGGGCTCCTCCTAGGGGTGGGGGGCTCCTAGGGGTGGGGGCTCCTGGGGTGAGGGGCTCTTAGGGTTGAGGGCTCCTGGGGGTGAGGGGGCTCCTAGGGGTGAGGGGCTCCTTGGGGTGGTGAGGCTCTGGGGGTGGGGCAGTGGGGGTGGGGGCGCCAGGTGGGGGGGTGGGCGCCAGGTGGGGAGTGGGGGCCAGGTCGGGATGAGGCGCCAGGTCGAGATGAGGGCGCCAGGTCAGGGGATGGGGCGCCAAGTGGATGGGGGAGGGGTGGTAGAAGATCGACGTACTGCCTTCTCTCCCACATAAATGACGAGTATTAATGTTTATGTGCTAGATGTTGTTTTTGTTGTTGTTGTTTTTAGTTATATTGAAGCTTTACGAGGCTAAATCAGAGGTTAAAAGGTGTTGCAGTGCTGTGTGTGTGTGTGTGTGTGTGTGTGTGTGTGTGTGTGTGTGTGTGTTAATCACTCATCCGGAACTCATTTGCTTATTTCCCATTCGATATGATCAGATAATCTTGGTCAATTATAGACCTTCACTATAATTATACACATATTATCCTAATGATTTACAACTAATTAATTATAATTATATATATATCACGTTACTTCCTTTTGATTCATGGCAATACATGATCTAATATATATATATATATATATATATATATATATATATATATATATATATATATATATATATATATATATATATATATATATATATATATATATATATATAGTGAATGATATAATAAATGGCTCAAAATAATTAAATACGATAATTATTAATTATTAACCAGAAAATCTGATAATTGATATATGACTCAACATACGTAAATAATACAGTCATTCTTAGTATAAATTGCTGTTTTAGTAACACGTAAATAATGGGCCCCAGTCCTCATGGGTCCCAGTCCTCATGGTCCCAGTCCTCATGGGTCCCAGTCCTCATGGTCCTAGTCCTCATGGTCCTAGTCCTCATGGGCCCCAGTCCTCATGGGCCCCAGTCGTCATGGCCCCAATCCTCATGGGTCCCAGTCCTCATGGTCCCAGTCCTCATGGGTCCCAGTCCTCATGGTCCCTAGTCCTCATGGTCCTAGTCCTCATGGGCCCCAGTCCTCATGGGCCCCATCGTCATGGCCCCAATCCTCATGGTCCTAGTCTCCTTGGGTCCCAGTCCCTCATGGGTCCCAGTCCTCCTGACCCCCAGTCCTCATGGCCCCAATCCTCATGGTCCTAGTCCTCATGGGCCCCAGTCCTCATGGGCCCCAGTCCTCATGGTCCTAGTCTCATGGGCCCCAATCCTCATGGTCCTAGTCCTCATGGGTCCCGGCCATAGGTCCCATGGGTCCCAGTCCTCATGGGTCCCAGTCTCATGGGTCCCAGTCCTCATGGGTCCCGGTCTCATGGGTCCCAGTCTCATGGGTCCCGGTCCTCATGGTCCCAGTCTCATGGGTCCCCAGTCCTCCTGGGCCCCAGTCCCCATGGTCCCAGTCCCCATGGGTCCCCAGTCCTCATGGGTCCCGGCCATAGGTCCCAGTCCTCATGGTCCCAGTCCCCTGGGTCCCAGTCCTCGTGGGTCCCCTGTTCTCATGGTCCCAGTCCCTCACAGGTCCCAGTCCCCGTCGTGGGTCCCTGTTCCTCATGGTCCCAGTCCTCTTAGGTCCCAGTCCCTGGGTCCCAGTCCCAGTCCTCATAGGTCCCAGTCCCATGGTCCCAGTCCCTCCTCCCAGGTCCCAGTCTCATGGGTCCCAGTCCTCAGGTCCCAGTCCCAGTCCCCTGGGTCCCAGTCCTCATGGGTCCCAGTCCTCAGTCCTCAGGTGGGTCCCAGTCCCCAGTCCTCAGTCCCAGTCCTCATGGGTCCCAGTCCTCATGGGTCCCAGGTCCCCAGTCCTCATGGGTCCCAGTCCTCATGGGTCCCATCCTCTCCCAGTCCTCATGGGGTCCCAGTCCCAGGCCGTCAGGTCCCAGTCCTCCATGGGTCCCAGTCCTCGTGGGTCCCAGTCCGGGGTCCCCAGTCCTGGAGTCCCGTCCTCGTGGTCCCAGTTCTCATGGGTCCCAGTCCCCTCAGTCCCCAGTCCCTGGTCCTCATGGGTCCCAGTCCTCCTGGGTCCCAGTCCTCACGTCCCAGTCGGTCAGTCCCGTGGGTCCCCAGTCGTGGGTCCCCAGTCCTCAGGTCCCAGTCCTCGTCCCAGTCCCAGTCCTCCAGTGGGTCCTCATCACGGTCCTCAGTCCTCATGGGTCCCAGTCCTCGTCCCCAGTCTCATGGGTCCCAGTCCTCATGGGTCCCAGTCCAGGTCCCCAGTCATCATGTCCAGTCCTCAGTCCCAGCAGTCCCAGTCATGGGTCCCAGTCCTCCCAGTCCCAGTCCTCATGGGGTCCCAGTCCCCCTCATGGGTCCCCACCATGGGTCCCAGTCCTCATAGGTCCCAGTCCTCCCCAGGGTCCCAGCCGTCCCAGTATAGGTCCCAGTCCCAGTCCCCAGTCATAGGTCCCCAGTCTCATGGGTCCCAGTCCTCCACGGTCCCGGTCCCTCATGGGTCCCAGTCCCAGTCCCAGTCCCAAGTCCATGGGTCCCAGTCCTCATGGGTCCCAGTCCCCAACCCTCATGGGTCCCAGTCCTCATGGGTCCCAGTCCTCCTAGTCCCAGTCTCATGGTCCCAGTCTCATGGGTCCCTCATGGGTCCCAGTCCCCCTCATAGGTCCCAGTCCCCGTGGGTCCCAGTCCCCATGGGGTCCCAGTCCCTCATAGGTCCCAGTCCCTCGTGGGTCCCAGTCTCCCATGGGTCCCAGTCCTCCCTGGGTCCCAGTCCCCAGGTCCAGTCCTCATAGGTCCCCCGGTCCAGTCCTCATGGGTCCCAGTCACCCCATGGGTCCCAGTCCCCATGGGTCCCAGTCCCTCATGGGTCCCCAGTCCCTCATCAGGTCCCAGTCATCCCAGTCCCAGTCCTCGGTCCCAGTCCCCACTCCCAGTCCTCATGGGTCCCAGTCCACAGTCCCCTGGTCCCTCATAGGTCCCAGTCCAGTCCCCATGGGGTCCCAGTCCCTCAGTGGGGTCCCAGTCCCCAGGTCCCAGTCCCCATGGGTCCCGGCAGTCCCAGTCCCCTTGGTCCCAGTCCCCTCCAGGTCCCGGTCCCAGTCCTCATGGGTCCCAGTCCCCTCGGTCCCCAGTCCTCTTGGGGTCCCAGTCCCCCTGGGTCCCCAGTCCCTCTGGGTCCAGTCCCCATGGGTCCCAGTCCCTCCCCCAGTCCTTGGGTCCCAGTCCCCATGGGTCCCCAGTCCCTTGGGTCCCAGTCCTCATGGTCCCAGTCCTCATGGGTCCCCAGTCCTCATGGAGTCCCTGGGTCCTCATGGGGTGTCCCAGTCCTCTCCCAGTGGGTCCCAGTCTCCCATGGGTCCCAGTCCCCAAGTCCCACAGTCCCCAGTCCCAGTCTCTCATGTCCCGGTCCTCAGTCTTCCCCAGTCCCAGTCCTCGGTCCCAGGTCCCCGGTCCTCACGGTCCCAGTCCTCATGGGTCCCAGTCCCAGTCCCATGGTCCCCAGTCCTCATTAGTCCCCAGTCCTCAGGGTCCCCGTCCATCCTCATGGGTCCCAGTCCTCGGTCCCAGTCCTCATGGGTCCCAGTCCTCATGGGTCCCAGTCCTCACGGTCCCAGTCCTCATGGGTCCCAGTCCTCATGGGTCCCAGTCCTCATGGGTCCCAGTCCTCATGGGTCCCAGTCCTCTTGGGTCCCAGTCCTCATGTTATTAATAGGTGTAATTTATTTGTTCTTTTACTAATAATATAAACAGTAACTATAGCTTTTGTATCTTTATTATTAAATACTCTTCTTAAATATACTTAAGAGACCAAAATATATGCTAGAGGCCAAAGCATACACTCAAGAGGCCAATATATACACTTTAGAGACTAAAGTATACACTAGAGGCCAAAATATAGACTAGAGGCCAAATTTTACACTATAGAGGTCAAAATATACACTATAGAGGTCAAAATATACACTAGAGGCCAAATTTTACACTATAGAGGTCAAAATATACACTATAGAGGTCAAAATATACACTAGAGGCCAAATTTTACACTATAGAGGTCAAAATATACACTAGAGGTCATATTATACACTGTAGTGATCAAATTATACACTTTCGAGGTCAAATTATACACTATAGAGATCAAAATATACTTTAGAGGCCAAATTATACACTATAGAGATTTTTTTTTTAGATTGCCCCGAGGGGGCTAGTTTATTGGGCACCCCCTTACATCCTGTGGAAGGTGAAGCACAGAAGCGTTTACAGCGCCCATCTGGGAAGCATGCGGAGTTCATGCTTGTCTTTATGACTCATGCATTAAGGGCGTAAAAGCCTGAACGGTCATGGGTTTTGTCAGCAAGTTACATAAAGTGACAGAATGATGAGTGTGTGGGGGGAAATTTTCCGGTACAATTCATCTGTTTATGGCAAAGCGTGGCAGGTCCCTAATAATGTCAAGTGCCAGGCCATAGGCATTAACAATATTGAGCGACATACCTTTCAGTGTGATTGTGATTGCGTGTGCGTCAGTAGCGTCGGCTTCAAGGGGGACGTCGAGAGGTTGGTAGATACGCAGTCCACAAGCATGTCCGCATGGTGGTCAATTGATGTGGAGAACTGGAGTGGATGGCCCCAGGTGCCGGCATGCAGGTCGGGTACGGGGAGCCGGGGTGATGTCCTCGGGTCCATGAGCGCGCAGTGGGTAGACGGGGGCAGACGGGCTCGGGGCAGGCTCGGTGTGGACGCCAGCAGTAGTGCCAGGCGGCGGTGGAGTAGGCCGTGAGCATGAGGGGCACACAGGAGGGCTACCAGGTTGTGTCAAACCAGAAGAGGGAGGTGACTGGGTAGCAGCTGGAGGCAGGGGTAGTCTGTGTAGGTTGGAGATGGCGGTACAGAGTGTATCAAAGAGTCTTTCAATACGGTTGGCAAATTCGTGTAAGAGGGATATGAACTGGGTCGTGTTACCGGAGGGGGGTTGTGGGGGGAGGCACCGGTGGGGGCACGAGGCCTGACAGCATCAGAGTAGAGATGGAGAGGAGGCCCAGTTGTAGTTGAGTTAGGAGACGGCCGGGACTGCTGTGTTGCAGCCAGGTGAGGCCAGGCAGGGGCAGGTGTTGTTGAAGAAGGTGTTGCTGGAGACAGAGGGGACGCAGAAGGATGTGGCTCGGTAGGCTGGAGGGGAGGTTGAGGTTGACGCAGCCTTCAGAGAGGCTTTTCTCCTGGGACAGGCGGACGTTTGGGGCATTGCCGTGAGTCAGCATTGTGCCAGCCACCACAATTACAACACCTGGGGTCAACAACATAGCCCACACCACCCCCATTGAGGTGGTCTTTGATTTTTGGGGCACAGACGGGGGAGTGATGGTTATGTGAACAGAAGCGACATCTGGGACGATCACGTCGGCAGCAGGCGGTGAAGGAGTGACCCCAGTGGGAGCAGATGACACAAAAAACAGGCCCTGGGTGATATATTTCAGCTTACAGTTGGGGCAGGACTGGGTAGGCATCAACAGTGGTTGGGCACTCCCTCCCCTTCCATTTAACTATGACAGTTGCTTGTGGGGTCTTCCCTCGGTAGTGTCGACGTATACTGAGTATACGTGGATTAAAGTTACGAGCATCTTCGACTTCAGCGTATTGGGGGAACTGTTTAACTAGGATGTGGCAACATTCCGCTGCGTCAGTAGGTGGAGGCACAAGGACAACCCCGGTTCTTACCTTTTCGGAATTGAATGGTGAGACCGTGTTGTCTCCAATACTTTGTTGTCCAATTAAACCGTTCCTCGACGGTTTTCAATGAGCCCTTGGGGAATTGCAGATGCAATTTACTTGGTTGGTTGGCAGAGGGGTGGGTGGTGAGGGGAGGCTCGCTGCCCTTGGCATTGGTGTTACCACTCCGGCAAGTGTTTCCCATAGAAACATTACCATTACTGTCACTATCACTGATGTCTGACTCTTGCACTCTGACTATCCGTCTCAGAAATGTCTGTATCCATGAGAGAGGGGACGCCTCTTCTGGGGCGCTTACGTCGACCCCGCCCCCCCATCGTTGGCAACACTTGCCGGCGAAGGGGTAGGTAGAGAGATCAAATTATACACTATAGAGGTCAAATTATACACTCTAGAGGCCAAATTATACACTCTAGAGGCCAACTTACAGTATATCATCAGTAATATATGAGTGGTTCTGAGTGTATTGTATATGTTATGTGAGATACAGTTTAGGAGGAAAGCTTTCATACGGTTAGATTGTGATGTCAGTGATATCAGCGTTGTCATCATTACACAAATAATAATCGTGTTTATTTTCTACAGTTATCAATTTGCCAGTGATCGAGTATTATAGTTATTCAGTTCTAAATACACAAGGACTGAGTTTCTAGTTAGGTTAGGTTAGGTTAGGATCGGATCGGATCGGATCCAAGTGTATCATATAAAAATTTTCTTCGCCAGCACATGACAGAGATCATCCTCTGTCTCAACATGTTCCCCGGCTGTATTCAGCGTCTGTATATACACCCATTAAAAAATTGTTCGGCACCCTTACGGCGTGATACAATATGACACAGGAGCTGAATATTTTTTTTTTTAGTGGATATACACAAGTGGGTGGTGGTGGTCACATGCCTCCGTGCGTCGCTGAGAACTTTGTCCTTCACCACACCGGAATTTCTGACTTCACCACGATATAATGATGATACACCCTATCAGCTCTCGTCAGGGCGTGGTCAAGGGACTGTCAGCACGTGAAGGGCAGGTTCAATTCTAAAACTCACCACATCCAGTGTGGCTGAGAGACTCTTCGTCGTCCTTTGAATCCTGAAGCTGAACGGTACTAAATATATCTCTTGTTAGTGTTGATGACTTCGCTGGCCAGCTTGAAGGAACACGTGTTGATGCGGAACATCTCTTTCAACTTCCTCCAACACGTGCAGGTGGTCGATAGAGCACGTGGTTGTGTTGATATCAGCCCCGACACGTGCAGTTGATAAGTGGAGCACGTGGTGGTGTTGATATGAGCGTCACTTGGCCCCTGTATACTTGTAGATGATAAACAGGTCAGGAGGCAGTGTTAATGTTAGAGTCAGTGAGTCTTTGTTCGTTCAGCTGGCAAATTCAACACATGATATTCGCCTTCAGGCACCATGGTAAACCTAGAAAAACAAAACAAAATCATAAACAGCTAATTAGAGGGAATTACAGGTGTGTGTTAGAAGTACCTAGTCAGCCACGACACTACACTCTCAAGTCTTACACACAGAACATGTTAGACACGTTGACTGAGGGGCACAGGTGAGGGAGGGAGGTGAGTAGGACACCAATTAAGACTTGCATAAGAAATATACATTTATAAACACAGTTAAATGTAGTTTGAGACTCGTGAAAGAAATTAATGATGAGAAATATGGTTTAGGAAAGAAGCAAACTCCCATGGGTAAAGGAAACACAGTGAGAGAGACGAAAATATAAATTAGAATCACAAATTAGAGAGTGATAGAAGCCAGTCAGTTTCAAATCTAGGAGAGAGGCTCTTATAAAGCAAGTGTGAGTGATTTAGTAGGTGGGTACTGAAGTGAGAGAGATAGTTAAGAAAGAAAACAAGTAGATAATCAAGTAAGAGAGATAGTTAAGAAAGAAAACACGTAGATAATCAAGTAAGAAAGATAGTTAAGAAAGAGAGCAGGTGGTTAATCAAGTGAGAGAGATATCGTTTAAGAGAGAAAATAGGTGTATAACACGTGAGAGAGATAATTTAAGAAAGAAAGCAGTTAGATAATAAGAATATAAGAACATAAGAATGGAGGAAACTGCAGCGGGCCTATTGGCTCATACTAGGCAGCTCCGTTTACACCCATTCCCTATCGCCCATATATCCATCCAACCTACTGTATATTTGAAGCTACCCAGCGTCTTCGAGTTAATGAGGAAGTTCGGTAACTTGTCCCATTCATCCACTACTCTATTTCCAAACTAGTGTTTGCCAGGTTTGAGGACCTTTGTTATATCACCTTAGTTTAACCCTGACTTCCATTTATACACCTCGATTTGGTCTGTCTGCGTCTCTCGAGGGAGTGAAAATTAAGATGCTTTAATCTGTCTCTGTACTCAAGGTTCCTAATGACCGGGATTACTTTTGTCATCCTCCTCTGAATGCTTTCTAGGGATTATATAGCCATTCTGTAGTACGGTGACCAGAACTGAACCGCATAATCCAAGTGAGGTCTCACAAGCGCAAGATATAGTTTTAGGATGACCTCGCTAGTCTTGTAACTAAACCTCCTTTGTATGAACCCAAGTACTTTGTTATCCTTCTTTCCAGCAAATACACATTGTTGTCTTAATTTAAGATTCCCACTTATCATTATTCCCAAATCTTTCTCACAGTCGGATTTCTCTATATCAATGTTGTTCATCTGATATCTGGTTTCTCTGTTAACATCTCCTAGACTAAGTTTTCTACATTTGTTCACATTAAATTTCATCTGCCATTTTTCAGACCATGAGAAAAATTTTTTTTGTACTTCCTGTAGTTTTGCGGAGTCCTCGTCAGATTTAATTACACGCCCTATTTTGGTGTCGTCAGCAAATTTACTTATGTTAATGTTGGTGTCTACGCCTATATCTACAAGTATGTCGCTTATGTATATAATAAATAGTAATGGTCCAAATACTGAGCCTTGGGGACTCCACTTGTGATGTTACCCCAGTAGGATTAAGAGCCATTTATGCTTACTCGCTGTTTCCTG